TCTCGTGTGGTGCCTCGGCGTTCGATAGTGCCGGCGGTGCACCAACCTTATTTTTAATTTTTTATTCCCGTGCTCCCCCGAACATTAGGTTCGATTTCAATCCCTTGATTTAATAAAAAATAAAACTACATGCTTGATCTTTATGAGTCAAGAAAGTTGTAAATATGGAATTCCTAATGATGATATGAATGAAAGCTTTTCAATCAAATTAATTTACTAAAAATTTGTACAGGGTGAGTCAACGATTGCGCGGAGTAACTTAATGCCTTGAAGATAAGATTTTTCGATAGAGTGCTTTTGTATTATGGTATGGTTGAATATTCTCCACATTTTAAAAATATTTGGAATTATACAGGGTACACCCACAAAGTAGGGCGCCAAAATGGTACATTTTTTTAATAGAACGCCCTGTATTTGAATGCATTTTTGAATTTTACGTGTAATTGTACGACTTTTTTATTATATGGTTAATATCCGAAAAGCTAGTAGTTTTAAAGGTAATTCGATTTTTAAGAAAAATTGGGCATTTGCAAGCGTCAATATATTCCAGGTTTTATCCTGGGTTAAGTAAAAGTCAAATTAATACATCTACTATGAAACATTAAAAAATAGCGTACAGGGTGTTTTTTGGTTGGTCCAAAGTTGCAAAACTTCATATTAGAAAATCTCACTTTTTTAAATGGAACACCCTGTATATTTTTCTGTCATCTTTTAGCTCTTCCAAAAACCTTCAACTTTTGATAATAATGTCCTATACCTATCTCTGATCGTTTTCGAAATATCTTGGTTTTTCTGATTTTTATATTCTAAGCTTAAATAAGTTATATGTAATTTACATAATAGTGAGGTGGCCATGCAAAAAAGGGAATTTTTATCTATCTCGTTCAAAACGAAAATCATATCGATTAATTTATTTTTCAAACAATTTATTTTAAGTCTAAAAATTGGAGAATAAGTAAAAACATTTGACTATAAAGCAAATTTAATTTAACTCCTAATGTCATCCAGTCAGTGATCTTTGTTTCATTTTTTTTTATATTCACCTCGTTATTATGTAAATTAGAACTTATTTCAGATTAAAATATAAAAACTAGGAAAACCAAGATATTTGTTATTGTTTTTACTATCAAATTTATTCTCCAGTTTTTAGACTTAAATGAATTATTCCAAAAATGAATTAATAAATCTGATTTTAGCTTTGGACGAGGCAAATAAAATGCCTTTTTTTGCATGGCCACCTCGTTATTATGTAAATTACATATAAGTTATTTAAGATTAGAATATAAAAACCAGAAAAACCAAGATATTTTGAAAAATATCAGAGATAGGTATAGGACATTATTATCAAAAGTTGAAGGTTTCTGGAAGAGCTAAAAGATGACAGAAAAATATACAAGGTGTTCCATTTAAATAAAATAAAACCATATAATAAAAAAGACCCGTAGAATTCAAAAATGCATTCAAATACAGGAGGTTCTATTTTAAAAAAATGTACCATTATGGCGCCCTACTTTGTGGGCGCATCCTGTATAATTCCAAATATTTTTAAAATGGAGAATATTCAACCATATCATAATACAAAAGCACTCTATCGAAAAATCTTATCTTCAAGGCATTAAGTTACTCCGCGCAATCATTGACTCACCCTGTACAAGTGTCGACACATCACATGTTACAATCATGACAGTATTGACCAAATGATACATGTTTATGTATGAAGTCGCCGATATTGGAAATTGCCGTATAGCTGCACTGAACAAGCATATAATTTTAAGAGAACAAGGCATACTACTTATATTTACGTAAATATAGAGCTCATTTGCGATCAATATATGAAAACTAACTTTAATAATAGTGGAAATAATGAAAGGCCTTCGCTTGATGCAATGGATTCTTATCATCACTAATAGCATTGAATAAAAACGCTATTTTATAATAGTTATTTACATAAAAGTCAGGAAAATGATACATTACTGGCGAGAAAATATTGGAAGTACGAGGCCATTTGGGGCCGAGTAGTTTAATATCCGAGTCAAGTAGTGTCAGTTTGCTGACGAGTTTTGTATTACATTTTTCGCGAAATCGTAATTTTTTAGCGCATTTTTTCCAATTTATTTGTAAAAAGGTAGTTTCTAATCTCACTTTGACCGGCTGGCTGGCTGGCAGCAAACGGAGACGAATAGTGTACATGTACCTACTGGGGCTGTGTAATTAACAACTATAGGGACGGGGCTACATGATGTGGTGTCGGCGACATCTGAGCGCCATCCACGAGCGTGGGGTACTAACCTGGTGATTTTTTTGTCCGATTGTTTTCAAATAGGTGTCGTCGAAAAGATCTTGTAAACGCGCACAACTCCTGCGTGACGATATTTCTCTCGTGTCTTTTACACTAGTGAAAATGGGCCAGTTTAATTTAATTAGTAACACTCTCAGAAGAATCTAAGTAAATCTGTACCTTTTCCTTAGTTCCTAATTCAATGCACTCTTCCATCGCTTCCTGGAGCTACCCTCATTAATAAAGTAGAACTGCTGCAGGCTTTGCATGTAGACATTTTCTGCATTCATAACGAAAGACTTACACTTTCCCATTGTTTGTTATAAACTATTCCCCATTCCATCACTTTGGCTAATTTAGGCGAGCAAAAGCAAGGTATTGCTTCGTCTGTTACAATTCATTATTAACGCTAGGTGAAATGTAAATAATCCATAGGCGACAAAAGCAAAATTCTCACGCTCTCTTTATTTTAAACAAGCCGGGTTATTGATTTATGTTCGGATCCAAATTATACAATGTAGGGTAAAGAGTTTGTAATCGTAAACCAATAACAATTAATAATACCTTAATATACTATATTTGTTCATGCAGTTTAAATTAAATTAACTCTGTACTGTTACTGCTAATAAAAATCCATAGCAGTGACTGGGGCTTCGAAACGATCCAGAGTGCTTCTATTTCAATGTTTTATGCAAAGAAAAAACTCTTAGTCGATAGTTAGGGTTAAATGGGCAGCGCAAAACGCCAAACTGTTATTCTCTTTTTGTGCACTAAAATTTTCCGTAAGGGGTTGAACTTCTATAGTTATGCGTATAATCAAAAATCCTCGCTATCCATTAGATTTTAAAAAGTTAGCAAGTACTTCGGATTCTGTTCTGTATCTGACCTCGGTTTGAGGGGTGGGGTGAGGGTGTCCTAGCCCTTCACGTTTTAGCGGGGTTGTTGCCTAACCGACAATAGCTCTGTTTCGTTTTCAGTGCACCAACCTGTATACTCTGCCTACAATAGTAGAAAGATTTCACTCTGAAAAAAACTCCCCATATATCGCAATGACTTAAAATCTTCTGAAACGCACTTCCCTTGAATAATTAACAAAACATTCTTGTGGGTAAACCTGCTGTAAGTTTAATCCTTTTTCTGTTTACAGTGTTAATATGTGAAAACCGTTGAGTCCGTCCTGCTTCGCTGGACACCGGGCAAACATACAGTGTCCGACAAAATAAATGGTACTGAAAGTGATTTACATAATTTAAACAATCAACATGTGCACCACCTACAGAAATCGTTGCCCAGAAAACCTACCGATCCAGGAAGTAGTATACAGGGTGAGTTTTTTAAAATGTTACATTTTGAAAACGGCATTAAATACTTTGATGAAATTTTGGTTCCTTAATAAGGATATGGGGGGGGGGGGCAATTTTAACAGGGAGGGGGACTTTGATTTTTTAAATACTATGTATATGCGCTAATATGTTTTTTGTTTAATTGCTTCCGTGGTTACGGAGCTACGGTTATTTTAAACATTACAATTTAAAAAAAACCTACAGTTTAATTACAAATTTTTCAACGTCGGCTATGCTTAAGAAAATGTTCAAAATGCTTCCTTGAACTTCCAAACATTTCACTGCAAAGTAGGAAGAATGTATGCGGTCTTTCATACTGAAAACAATACTTTACCTACCCATATATGGGTCCTCCACTATTGGTTGATCATAGTCGTTGTCCCCCATAGTTAGGTAGGTACTCCAGTATGGTGGATTGTCAGGGTTGTCTTGAGGCTCGTTATCGTCGTCCGTAAAAAGCTTAAATTTTTAATTAGTGCTTTTGCTGGCTGTTAAAATCCTAAGTATACAAGGGGAAAATTGACATTTCCATACAGTGGAAGATTGGTCAATTATTTCAGTGAGTAAACAAAATTTTAACTACTTAATTTGGAGAAACCATCTTTCATAATTCACATTCAACGAGTAGTCAGATTTATTGTTTTGAGGATTTTGGATAGCGATTTACTTGAATTCAATTTAACATTCCTGAAGAGATCGAACTACGGAACTTTATTCCGCAAACAGATTTGTATATTTTTTATGAATGATAAAGCAAACAACAGATTTACCATCCAGAGGTGTGCAAATCTTTTGAATAGGAAAATGTACCAGACGTTGGAGATGGAAATTACCTTAGACCAGTTTCGAGCATTCTGCCGGCTACTCCGAATTAGGTTTTCCTGCAGTTTTCCTAATTCGTAACGTAAATACCGGAGTAGTATAGAACAACTTAAGACCTTCTGCAGAGGCACCTCTAAAAAGCATTATGCGGGTCACTCTGTAATTGGGCGCAAGCCTGTTGAGGGCCCAGAACAATAGAGCGATAATAAATAAATAAATAAAAAAAAATAAAAATATATCCAAAGAATCCAATTTACACGAGTATTTATTTGAGAGTGATCAAACCAGAGCATCGGGTTTCAGATTATAATGGAAAATAAAGAACTAACTTTTCGCAATAATTCTTTTTACCTCGTCCTTGATGATATCTGAAACCTCGATCTCTGGTTATGGTTACACGACCCACATTATTACCTCTTCCGCGTGTGAAATTTTTCTCAGCATTTTTAGCGCATTTCCACAAAAAAAAATGCGCTATTGTTGCCACTTTGTCCGTCCGTCCGCTCGTTCGTTGAGACGCTACTAGTTCTTTATCTTAAGAGCTATTGTTCTACTTTTTTCGCTATTGAGTTCGTTATGGTGTCGAGGCTTGCACCAAGGAAGGAATGTTTTCTGCGTTCATTGCTAAAAAAAGGTATTTGTAAAAAAACCAAAAAACCGTTTTTTACATGTTCCATAATTTTACACTTTTGCCGTTTATTAACGATCCTAGAGATCGTTTATAATTTTGTATTGCTGTCTGTCGTCTGTCTGTTGGTCTGTCCGTCTGTTCCTTTGTCTGTCTGTCCCTCTATCTGTCCGTGTGAACGATAATTTGTTTAGAAATGTCCGATCGCTTTTACATCTCCGTTAGTTATGAACTGAATTGCATGAAATTCAATATGGGCATAGCCTTAGCCATATAATACGCAATGCCAAAAGTTGAGTCGAATCGATTCAAAATTCACAGTGCCCTTTTCGCATCTCGACCATTTATAAACCGAATTGCAAACTTTTTTATTTTTTATTCTTACTTGAAATTCTGCAGCTAATTCTTTAATCTTACTATTAATAAAGCTTGCTTCCTCTACTTTTTTTGATTAAATTATCTCCCTTACGTCTCTCTGGGCCTATTTTTATTAAATACGTTCTGATTTGCTTTAACTCATTAAAATATTGAATTGCCTTGCTTGTGTGCATTTACTTATACATAACGTAGAAAAAACAATCTGTACCTATTACTTAATTATAACTTATATATCTAGCATTTACCAAATTTTCTTCCATTACGCAGTTTAATTTTTTCCATTTCACTATTTCACTAACACAACACTCACTCGAAGTCGATGACGCTGTCGCTCGAGATGATGATGCAGCTTCCATTTTCCATGGTCAATTTCTCATTCCTTGGCTTCTAGTTTAGTGACCGCTAACTACTCCTGCCTACTTCCCTAGTTCTTTCCTAACCCTTCGATCTAAACCTTTCAATTTTCATGTTAAAATTTGTGTAGTGTTTCCACTCGGCTTCCACGTAAATTTAAATTTTTAAGTTTTTTGCAGGATCGCCATTATTTAAGTACTTTATTTACACATAATAATAAAGCTACATGTTGATGATATCAACAGGTTTGATCCCAGTCTTCCGACTTGTAGCTACTAACTAAACTAATCATATTCATAAGCAATAATCCATGCCACCTTCCTGTATGCAACTATGCAATATTATTCCATTGAATTCTCTAGGTTCACAGTACAGACAGAAAGTGTGACATAGAAAATAAGCATATTAATTTTGTATATTTTTGACTGGGACTGGGACTAAGAAACAGAGCAAAGCGATGCAAGCTTTTTAGGGGAGTCGATGGTGTCTGTCTCTCTGTGTGTCTGCCTGTCTGCGAACACTGTCTGATAAACCATCTCTAGGATCGTTAATAAACGGTAAAAGTGTAAAATTATGGAACATGTAAAAACGATTGTTTGGTTTTTTTACATCTTTTTTAGCAATAAAGGCAGAAAAAATTCCTTCTTTGGTGCAAGCCTCCACACCATAACGAACCAAATAGCGAAAAAAGTAGAACAATAGTTCTTAAGATAAAGAACTATAGTAGCGTCTCAACCTCGGTCTGAATGAATGAGCGGGCGGACGGACGGCGAAAGTGGTCACAATAATTTTATTTTTATTTTTGTGTAAAATGCGCTAAAAAGGAAAACTTTCAGTAGAATCATTAGAAAACTGATACATAGAGCTAGCCGTGGATTATTCACACATGAAAGATTTGAATTCATTATCAAAGAGGGGTACTAAACCCCTTTATATGTAAAAAACCTATTTCAGTATAAAAACGTCACCTTGTTTGCTAATTTATTGATTGGTATAACATATTACATTGATTATGACATCGCGGGCTTATTAGGCCAGTAAATTCAGTATTCAGTAATGTTTATTGTTCAACAGACTTAGTAATCCATAAATGAACAATTATAAAAGTAAATATAGAGGCGTATACATACATTATTATTAAATTATTATAAAAAAAAGTAAAAAAAAAAAAAGATAAATGGAATATAATTGTTACAAATTAGTAAGAAAAGTAAACAAACAATAACAGAAAAGGGTATGTGTATATAATGGTACACTTAATGTTGCAAAGTAGAAAGCAATTCTATGAATGAAGGCAAAATAATAATTACAAAACTCTGTTAATTAAAAATAGAACTTAAAACATTCGATAAAGAATTATAATTAATGTCACAGTTCTGACAATACATATTATAATTACATGCCATTATTAAAGATGGAGTTCTACGAAGAAGATTGGATTTTGGAGTAGGTGTCTAAATGCCTGGTAGAATACATTGGTATAGTAACGAACGTGGAATACGGCGATACTGTGTAAATTTCCGCGTCTCCACCGAATCGCATGAAAATTTGGATTTAGGTTCTACTTACCCTCCACTTCAAAGTTGAACTTGAGCCCAGGGTTGCTTTTTATTTTTTAGGGGAAAAAACTACTCCTATTAGAAAAAAATCGTATAATTGTAAATTAAAGCGGGTATAATTGATTCAAATCATCTTTAAAAGGAGTGAATAAATATCAATTAACATTAAACAACATAACTTAAGATTTTATCACAGTTTAACCTCTAAAATAGTTATAATTAAAACAATGTCATAGTATACTTTGACTCCACTGATTTCCATGGAAATTTGGAATTAGGTTATTCTTACCCTCCACTTCAAAATTGGACGTTGGTTGCTGTGTATTTGTTAGGGGTGGAAACTACCCCTATTAATCATATAATTGTAAATTCAAGCATTCAAATTTGGGATTATAATTATACAGTAATATTAAATTTAGATTTCTTTGCTATTTTTATTTTTTACCACATAATTTCTATCCTTATAAAATTGATTTATAATTGTACATCAAAGTCAAAGTCACAATCTGCAATTCTTGATAAAGAAAGTAGACCTTCGAAACGTCGAATTATCTAATAAAAAAACTACACGAGGAGATCGAAAAAATGATTCATATATATACACATATATATAGTTTGTAAGGATGGGTGAAAGTATGCCTGTGCTTTAATAGCACATTATGTGTATCTTACAAAAACACGCGTTTTGATGTATTAATATGTGTTTGGTTTTTTAGTCATAAATCGGTTAATTTTTAAGCTACGAAGTGCTTTAAAAAACCATTTTGTAGGTTTTTTAAAAGCTATAAGATTATTGAAATTAATTTTTTTAAACCCTTATTTTTGAAAGGGTTGTAGTTGAAAGGGCTCGAATGAGTCACTAATGACGAGTGTATGCAAACTTTGAACAGTCATATCTTAACCAATTTTTGTTTTACAGAAAAACAAAATGTTCAGAAAATCAAAAGCTACATTTTTTTATTCTTGTAAATTTTTCACTAATACTTTTGAAGTTATTTTGAAAAAAAAGGCAATTTTTCAAAATTTCAAAATTTTTATTTTACTTTAAAACTACATAAGCACTTTGCACCGGTCAAACTTACAGATCATATAAACAATATCTAAATAAAGTGAACTGTAAAGCGGTAACGCTTAATTACAATTGGGGTGCTAATTAGGGGGTGATTTCCTCGATTTTGTTTACCAAAAAAAAGGCCCAACCTTAATTTTGAGCGTAACTCACTTAGTTTTGATGCTAGGAACTTTTCTTAAAAACAAAAAGAAAGGTTTTTTCAAACACATTAAAAAAGTATTCATAAGTTTTCCCCGAAAAGTGCCTCATATTTTGGTTATTTCACGTTGAAATACTCGATTTGGAATTTGACGAATGAGAACCTACTTTTCATGAGCTACAACTTTGCTTCTACTGGGTCTACAGATTTCGTATATAGACCATTTTGTTTGTTTTTTTAGAAGCTATATTTTTACTAAGAATACTTTTTTCGATATAATACTTACTTTTAGAGTTATTTGTGAAAAACCGTCTGAAAACGTGGTTTTTTTTGTTGAAAAATGAACATCTTCACCCGCAAATAACTCGAATACTATTTAGTGAAAAAACTCTATAGAACAAAAGTTGCTTAGAATTACTCAATTTATTTATTAATTCCCCCCCCCCCCCCCAAACCCTGGGCTCAAGTTCACCTTTGAAGTAGAGGGCAAGAGGAACCAAAATCCAAATTTTCAAGCAAATCCGTCGAGGCGCGAAAAATTACACGCCAAAACGGTCATTTACTGGCCTAATATGGGAAGCTACTACAAATGAATGAAGAAATGAACTAAATAAAAAAGATGCCCTTATTTGTGCGTGTTTAAATTATTAGATAAATTGCAACTTTTTTGAATTTTAAGAGTACGTTAAGTGTTACAATTTCCCATGTAGTGAAAAAGTAGACGAATATAATTATCTCCTTGGAAGATACATTTTGGATAAATCTGGTAATGAGATGGACATACTTTAAAATAAGCTTGGAAAACACGTATTGCCTGTTGCCAAGTAACGGCGTAGTAAGATTACGATCTCCATTACGATAATGAGTCTATTTTGCCAAAACTACTCAATTTTCTACGCGGAGAAATCCAAAATTTCTATGGGAAGTGTATGCGACTTCTATTTCCCAGAAAACAAAAGTTTTCCCAGGTCATTTTTCTCGGAGCAACTTATACTCTCATTCGCATTTTTGGTTTCTACTGATTTGTACTCTCACATTCATGATATCTGCATCTGCATCTTTGGGTTCGGAGATACTCCCACACTCACATAATAATAATTTCACGCCTCCCGTTCATGAATTGTGAAATACAGTGGCAGATCGCCTTTGGTCTCCTTCCTTTTGAGGTCAGCTCATGTTTCCTTAGTTACCTTCGATTCTTTCAAAAATGGTATTATTTATATGTCTTCAATGGGTGAATATTATTTTGAACGTGAAACCATTCATGAAATTATGATACAAAACAGTAATCGAATGTTATTTAAAATTCAAGGCGATAGCAAATAATTGTTTGATAGCACTACAAAAAATTCATTGATCCATTCCGAAAAAAATTTGGAAATTCTCCTTTATAATGGGTAAGAACCTGTTGGGAACCTTGCAATACAAATACCTGCGGCGTTTTTGTTTACTGTGCACTAATTACATAACTGCAACTTTCTTTTGTAGGTTTTTTGAAAGCATCTCTTGACTAATGAACAATGAAAAAGTGGTTTAGTTTAGACACATTCGATTACGCATTTTATGTCACAATTTTACGTAAAATCTGCAACACGGAAGTACATAGTGATAAAAACATTGTCTTTGTACACCTACATTAATCACGAGTTTTTTTAAACCGATCGAAGTACAAGTAGCGGTTGACTCATTTTATCTCCAGACACACTGGCGAAATTATGTATTGCTCACGCGACTTGTGTTTCAATTTCAATACTAAAAGTGCAAAGTCCGATGAGATAATTATAAAATAGACCAGAAATAAAGTCGTCAAGGCCCATTTGATGAGACACGCCGATGGGGTGATCAAAAATTCACCATTAGTGAACATTTGTGATTTGAGATCAAATTTGAGTATGTGAGTACTCAAAGAATTATAAAAATACTTCCTCGAAGGGAATTTTTGCTAATACATTCGCACTAGTTTCGCTTCCCTAGTTTCGCATATACCGGGCTGGTCACATACTTGGTACAGTCATGCACTTATTACTACGAGAGTATTCTATCAATAGCAATCGATAAATTGTTAAATAAGATACACTTTGGAATTGTGTAGAAGCAGATTTTTTGAGGCATAATATTGTGGAGTCTTTTTCACGTATGGCTAATTCAAAGTTTTTCATCCTTCGTTATTGTAGATCCTTTTGGCAGATAATCCTCTCAACGTTCTAGTAAACTGTTGCCATAACCCCCCTCCTTTCCTCCAGAAAATTGCCTCTTCGCTTTTTGAGTGACGGGGAGCCTTTATGAACTGTACATCGAATCTTGTTTCGTAGAGGGATACAGAAGTCAACACCAAATTCTTAACTTTTTGATAATCTCATCAGTTGTACTTTCAGAGGTCTTCCACACTTTGGGCAGTGGCGTAACTGTAACCATAATGCCCCGATTTCGGCAAAAAGTACAAAAATTTAAGTCGTTTATACAAAATTTCCTGAACTCCTTCAATGTTGAG